AAAAAAACAAAKWATRAAWTYAATKAMWAAACTATTCAATATAAAGATAAAATTTCTATAATAGAAATAAAAATAAATATCTATTTGTAAGTTGGTTATGATATTGCGCCAGTCACTGAGTATCTATCATTTACCTGTACCTCTAGGCAAGGTAAGCTTCTTGTAAAACGAGCATGGTACATGGGCGTTATGTTCTGCGGATGAACGTTAGGGGAAAAACTACTTGGTTGAGAAGTTTTTTAGCAAGGACGGAGAAGACACACGATCCCGTTGTCATTTCTCTTGGGTTATTGGATGAGACGACGACCATGAACGTCAAGGTTCTAATGAAAATATTAATCATTCCAATAAATCATCTATTACAATCATGCAACGTTTCTTTCTAATCCTAAACATTTTTTTAATATTCCAAATTAATGTTTACTTAACTATATAGAAAATCTTCTATTTCTAGAAAGAATTTGTATGAAATAAAAATCGAATGTTATACAATATACTAACATGAGTTTGCTAACTAACTATCTTTCTAATAAACCTAGTAATTTGATCTAAATGTAACTGATGCAACGACAAAAGGAATCTAATCAGTCGTACTTGTACTACTCCTAATAGTATCACCTAAATATAGTATAACTTAAAATATAACCAATGATTATCTCGATCTAAATTTAAAATTTATTCTTATTTGGGGGTAAGCAAAAAACACCGACATATCGAAGGACTTACAATTATAATTATTTCCGTAAAAAAAAAAAAAATAAAAATAAAACAGAACAAGAATATTTCGATCATTCTCTTCGATCAAAGTGATTGAAATTCGATCAATTTCAAAACGTAACAAAAAAAAATTTGACGTTTATAATATTACATCCTCTAAATTTCTATGGGAATAAAAAACAACGTTCGATTTCTCTCTTTTTTTTTTTTTTCTTATTCGATTTGAAATGCGTGAAGAGAATTTCGTCGACGTATTAAGGACGGATTAAGAAAAAAAAACTAATAATAATAATAATAATAATAATAATGACAATGATAGTAATGTTAAAAAAAAAAAAGCTATCAAATTCGTTCTTAGGCGTAGACGAGAGACGAAAGGAAAAATGTCAATGTCAGACGTATCGAGTTTTATTGGGCAGGGCATGCATTTCTTGATCGTTTACTCCATAACAGAGGCGTGTGCCCCTGCTTCTGGTTTAGCGTGCCTTGCAGGACACTTTTTCCCCCAAAGGGTATATAAAACCGTGTAGCGAAGGTAGATGGACAACACAAAACGAAGATACTTTGGCGAGTACTGTTCTCTTCAGCAGCGCTAAGGAACTTCAAGCATTATCATCCATTTTTCATCATGAAATTCCTCGTGAGTATTATTTGCCAGATTAATACGACATATTTTATATTATCTATTCAAAAAAAATTAACAATCTAGGCCTAAAATATGTTGTTTTTTAAACCCCATTAGAACGTACAATCAAAATATTATATTATCTATTAACAAATTAATCATTTAGGCTTAAAAATATGTTATTTGTTAACCCCCATTACAATGTACAATCGAAATATTATATTATCTATTAAAAAATTAACAAACTAAGCCTGTATTGTTAAACCCCAATAGAATGAACGATCGAAATGGATTACAATATTTAACAATTTAATTATTAAAATTTAGATCGCTTTCTCCGCTATCTTGGCTGTTGCCTTTGGAACTCCTGGATATATATACGGTGTTCATCCAGCACCAATCGCCTATGCAAGATTAGTACCCGGTGCACCAATCGGAATAGACGGACGAGTAGTCGACACACCGGAAGTTGCTGTAGCCAAAGCCGAACATGCGGCAGCACACATCAACGAAAGGATCAATTTAGCAAACGAAGCAGTCAAATCGGCTGAAGTTGTTGTCCCAGCAACTTACGGTGTTTCCGTTGGCACACCTGTTATTGCTTCGACGGTACCCGTCGTAGCATCACCAACCAAAATCGTATCAGGTGCACCAATCGGTGTCGATGGACGCGTAGTTGACACACCGGAAGTTGCCGTCGCCAAAGCCGAACATGCCGCTGCACAGGCCAACGAAAGGCTAGGATTGGCTCAAGAAGCTGCCAAATCTATTTCTGCTGATCTTCCCGTACTCGTATCACCAGTTTTATACGCGAAATTCCATTGAACCCAATGACTACGACTACTACCACCACCATCACCAACCCGTCCCCAAAACAAAATGATTTTACGTCTCTGACTGCGATTTTCTTATACCACATTGTGTTTATTTTATTAAAATGTAAATAAATGACAATTATCCATAATTTGTTTGACTTTCTTTTTTTTTTTTAATGTATCTATGATCTATAATTTATATTCTATCTTGTCCTTTAACATATATTTCAATTAGTTTGAAAAATATTTTAATAAAATCGTTATATTTATATTTCAATATTGATCATTAATATTAATTTGTTACATTATATATGATTTTTCTTTTACGATCTTTCATCTAATCTTTTTATAAATAGTTTGAGAAATATTTATATATTATGTATCTTAAAAATTCATTTACACAATAGTATAATAGAAAGGAACCTTCTGTTAACATTTATTTGAGAGATCCGTGTATGTTCTGTATTGAAAATATTTCACACACCTTAAGTATGGTATCTTATGGTTAGTCTTTCTGATACCATGAACCGATTAAAATACTCAACGTAAAATCATAAAGAAAACAATTCGTTATATGACATAACTGTGATTGAAACGTTTAATCGGTACATTCAAATTCTCTCGATGATTATTTAAAATAAACCAATGAAAATCTTGCGTGACGTAGTTAAAATAACGTAAGCAAAAATATTTGCCAATCTTTTATTTCTAACATGATTGCTTTGTGCTCTATGTCACGGACCATTTGATATAGGGGCACGGTAGTAGCAGCAACAGCAACAGCAACAGCAGCAGCTGTGGGTTTTCAACAGTGTCAAGAACTATTTGTCGACAGGTTGTGGCAAACTTAACAATACCCAATGTAAGGGAAAGCAATTATCATTGATAGATCCTTTCGATCGAACCGACATACAGCGGTAACAACGTGATCCACGCTTGTCGCGTTAATAAATTAATGACTGTTACAATAATATAACTGGACCAATCAAGTGGACACACCAGGCGCGGTCGGTCACGATTTCAAAAGATTATTTTCCTAATTTTTTATTCATTTCTATAGATACAAATATAATTTATCAATTTCTAACCTAGAAACTGACCCACCAAAAATTAATTATCATGTCATTTATATAATTAAGATGATCGATTGAAATACAAATTGAATATGATTCAATTGATAAGTTTTCAATGAAAATGATTGATTGAAATTATTCGTAGATATTAGAAATRAATAAATCATAGTTATCATCGTGTGGTTTGCAGTCTGAGAGCATTCATTTCTGTCATTAATCAAAATAAGATAAAATGGGAGAGAGGGTTTCCTGGTATGATGATAAGATAAAATGTGAATTTCCGATGAAAGAGCAGGAACTACATTGAAATGTCAAGGGCATAGTTAGGAAAGGTGGTGCATCGATGAACACTCAAGTACTCTCCCTTTTTCTATCTCACGGTTGATTCGAAGTTCCCTGCTGCAGGAGCGGTGGGTTTAGTCCCGATCACCTTTGGCTCCCTCCAAGTAGATTACTTTTGTCTGAGAGGGGGCGGTTGATCTCGAGCTATAAATGATACCGTCCGACCGTTCTCCAGGAACACAAAACGGTCAACCGAGGAACGGAGGAGTTCTTTGTGGTAGGAGGAACAGCAGCACCTCCAGCAACCACCACCACCATCAGTTGTAGTAAAGTAATAAGCGAGTACTGGTCATACCAGCAGCGCTTTGAAGAAGAAGAAGAAGAAGAAGAAGAAGAAAAAGAAGAAAGAAAGAAAAGGACTTCACACTCCCCCACCACAACTAATATCACAGGTCGTCATGCAAGTCCCGGTGAGTATCCTCGATATGCCTTGAGAATCGACCTATCCGTTTGTGCCAACTCATGGCCGTTGTTACAACAGGAACAAAGAAAAGTGAAAGGTTAAATCGATATATAGATTCGGGTCAACTACAATTACGAGAAAGCGCTATTCGATGCTACCCACATGAAAATCCAACTATCAAGTTACACTACTTCACTTGATACTCATTACAGATACTCGTCGTATTAGCTTTGATCGCTAATAGCTGCAATGCCGGTTACATAGGACCATCCTCGTCTTATGCCGAACCCCAATTAGAGGCTCAACGAGCACCGCCAAGATTTGCACCGCCTGCACCGGTTGGTCAAGATGGGAATGTTATCGATACCCCCGAGGTAGCTCAAGCTAAGGCCGCACACTTTGCCGAATTTGCCAAAGCAGCGGCTAGAGCTGTTGAAGAGAGCAAAAATCAAAAAGCTAACTTTAACGATTCTCCTAATCCTAGATCACCACAATCCTACAACAGTTATCCCTCTAATGTACAACAACCATCTGCACCTTTGTACAGACAACAAACTTATCAACCAAATTATCAACAACCCCCCCAACCAGCCTACCAACAACCTGTTACTTATCAAAACAATCCTTTACCACCTATACCAACCCAATACAATCCTGTACCTTCCGTTAATCCTGCTGCTTATCAACAAACTACACAATACGAACAACCGCGACCTAATTTCGTTAATCAGAAAAGTAACTTCGGTTCACCGGCAAAAGCAACTTTCGTTCCTGCCCCTCTTGCCGAAGACGGCACCGTTTTGGACACGCCCGAGGTCGCTGCCCTCAAGGCAGCCAGACTCGCTGAACTCGCCGATGCCGAGGCCAGGGCCTACAAGTACAGTGCTGCTACCAGGGAGTTTCCTGGATCTCAAGGTCAAGGTGAGTCGCGTTTCTACCAAACCTACGTAAAACTTATACTTTAACAATCATAAATATTTCCATCGTTTTTCTTTTTTTAGCTAAACCTGATTTGTATAAAAATCTCACATTACAATTTAAAATTAAATTTTTAATTGGAATGTTCATTTTCTTTAGGATCAATAGAATTTGTTATAAATAATTACAGAAATGTTTGATTTTAAATATGTATTTTTTAAATCAGATCAATTCTTATTAATAATCCAGTTATTTTTATAAATAAAATTAAATTTTGTAGATCCCCTATTTGTGGTATAAAAATTTTTGAACATTTCATCGAGTAGCCTTTATAATATTAGATAAATAAAAAAATGTTAAAAGATATAGATCGGTGTGATCAGATTCAATAATATTAATTGATTTAAAGGTCAGATGGTTTGACAGTACCGTTAGACACGAACACTGCAATTATATGAATACTTGCTCACGTTTCTAAACAATTACGTCATTGGAATCGAGTATAAACCAACATAGTTTTTATTTTTTATTTTAAAACCTTACTTGATCTTTGACACCATAGCAAGGAGAAAATCATAAATCTTGACCATGTTCAATTAACTTGACCGGTTAAACAACGTATGAATTATTGTTTATTTAGATGATAAATAAAAAATATTACAAAAGGCTAATACAACGTTTAACTTTTGAAATTTCTATTTTTTATGTTGTACAGCATACCAAGATGGTCAAGTTGGTGGTCCATCAGCAATAAATTACAACTCACCTACTTCACAATTTGGTCCTTCGTATCAAAGTGAACCAGCTAGAATATTGGGACCACAACACTTAAGTTTTCCTAAATCTTTCCAACCAGATCACGGATATCAATCGTCACAAAATTATCAACAACCACAATACGTGTCAGGATCTTATTGATACTGACACATATCAAATGAAAATGCGAAATTTTTGTACATAATATTTACATATCGAAATAATTTAGATCATATAATAATAACATTTTATTTCATTCGTATCAATTATCAAATGTCATATTGTAAATTAATTAATCAAATTGCTAACTTTTTTTTCTCTCTCTCTCTCTCTCTCTCAACGTGATAGAATAAAACAAAGACTGTTGGAAGACTTTTTTACAAGAAAAAACGAATTCTTCTTTTTTTTGTCTCTTTCCCCTATATTTTTTTTTTTTTCTATTAATTTTTTTATTTGTTTTTTATATATATATATATATATAAATATGATTATAAAAAAAAATTGAATAATTAAAATAAAATTTAACGACGAATAGGTCATAGTACTGCGTTACAATTCATACACGTCGTGTGCATGTTTGAGTGTGTGTATGTGTGTATAATATTTGTATAAGTATGTGTGACCGACGCGTAAGATATTATATTAAAAAATGAATATTTTTATACGTTTTAAGTTTTACACGTAAACCACAGGTCAACCTACATTCGATTCACACGTGGATCGTTGCGAATTCAATACTATGACGATAATAAAAAAATGTTTTTGCGATCTAGTTAATAGGAACGTTATTTCAGGGACGTTGGTGTGTCTAGTTAATTTTTTTATTTTTTTTTATTTTTTGCAATCGTCACGTCTACGAATTTCACATTGGAAATGAATTTACAGAAAAGTGGCCTTGAAATTTTGATGATTCATGTGATATTACAAAATCATATACTTGTATAAAATTTAACAATAAAAATGATGAATCATAATTAAAAAAATTGAGTATATCCAATTAACACGAATAAATTATAATAAATAAATTGTTAACTTTAATTTGAGTATACTAATCATAAAAAGATTACAATTTTACAAAAAATAAATTATTTTCTACTAGTAATGTTTGATTAAAATTGTAATAAATATTATAATTGAAAAAAAAAATGAATTTTTTTTAATGAACTTAAAAAAAAAAAAACTCGACACTGCAATAAATAAAATTAATTTAAAGGACAAGAAACAAAGGACGTGAACGATGTTTTGTGTTTTGTATTTTGTATTTTGTATCCTTTCGTGTCCTGTAGTGTCCTGGGGCAAATTTTATTTCATTATGGGTGTGTCTGTCCTTCTATATAGGATGTGGGCGTTCTTCAATTGGAATTAAACCTTGAACGGTCAACAGAACTTTGAAGATGAAATCGAAAGATTTTTGAAAAAGGAGATAGAATAAAAGAATTGTGTTTTTCTTTAAAATTTCATTTCAAATTTTTTAAATATGAATTACAAACATTTTTGTTTAACCCTTTAAACTTAATCCCTATACGAGTAATAATAATAATTAATAATAATTTTTATCAAATAATAATAATAATAATAATAATAATAATAATAATATAATAAGGGATTACATTTAAATATAAATTATTATTAAATATATAAATTATAATTAAATTTAAATTATAATTTATATATATATAAAAGTAGGATTATAATTAGATATAAATGATAATTAAATTTAAATTATAATTTCTACATATAAAAATAAGAATTATAATTAATTAAATATAAATTATAAATAAGTACAAATTATAATTCCTATATATAAAAATAGAATTATAATTAAATATAAATTATTATTAAATTTATATTATAATTCCTATATATATAAAAATAGAATTATAATTAAATATAAATTATAATTAAATTTAAATTATAATTCTTATATAAAAAAAAATACAAATTATAATTAATTAAATTACAATAATTTCCTATTTTAATAGCGTATTAAAACTTAATCCATACAAATGAATAATTATTCTATCAAATAATATAATAATAATAATAATAATAATAATAATAATAATAATATAATAAAGGAATATAAGATTAAATATAAATAACAATTCCTATTTTTTATATATAGAAATAATAATTAATTAAATTTTTATTAATTGTTAGTTTAATTATATACTACGTTTTCGACAAATATTATTTATCATTTTTTAAAATTTGGTACACAAATAATTGAACAAGACACCATTAACCAATTAAGAAATTAATTATACTAGATATCATAAATTGTCCTAAATAATTATTTGAAACATGCATTCGACGTATTCGAAATATTCGTACGGCCGATTGAACCAAATAGCAGTTAACTCAGGTCGAATTGACGAGTGGTCCCTAACGTCTTGATCTATTTGAGATTATAAACTGGTACGCGTGAAACTTTTGCGCAATAACTATCACTATTTATCTATATCTATATATCTCTTTTTGTTAACTAGGCAAGGTGTCAACTTCCTTCTATCGCATTACCTAACTATTGCCAAGTGTAAAGTATCCGGAAAGTTTTCGTACCAATTTATTATTAACATTTATATACATATATATATATATTAAATATTATATATATATATATATTGAAATATTTTACAACATACATTTGTATTTTAAATATTTATTTAAAAATTGCATGACAAGTATTGATGTATTGAATGTGTCTACCCTAAGTATCATTAATAACAATTTAAAACACTATTATCCAATCCGTGATTTATGGACCCTTATGCGGGTCCAACCTTATTGATAATAAATTTATCCAATTGGGGGTAATATATTTAATATTATATAATATAAATTATATAATATATAATAAATTTATATATATATATATATATATATATATATATATATATATA